AAGATTTATCCTGATACCTCCCCCAGTCACTCTAGATGGCATCTATAAGCCCATCTCTGACAACTCTCTATCATCTCCCCAAATGGAATCTTTAAGCCCATTCCCTGCACAGTCAACTAACACATCATCGAGTGCAAATTTCTGGGCACTTTAGTGTTCAATCATCTTCCACCTTCAAGTCACGAATGGCGGGCTCGCCAATTTAACTCTTCAGGCTTAAGAAGATTGAACAGGGGCAGATGTTGTACTCCAAAATTTGCCCTCTCATTTCTCAATAATTTTCTCACAAGATCTTCCATGACTCAAGTTTACAACACTGATACATCAATTTAGGTTTTGAATTGGCACAAGGGCAAAATGGCCAAAATGCACACTAAAAAGTCAAACTTTGACTTCTTGATCAAAATCCAGTTTCAAGAATCACATTTCATCAAGACATGTTAGAATATGAAGTTGGTTCATCAAGAAAATCAAAAGTCAAAATTACTTTGGAAAAGTCAAAGTTCTAAACACTTAGAAATTTTTCTAAGTGTTAAGAAAGTATGATAAGTTCATAACTTTTGGCCAGATTTTCATAATGATGCAAGATGATTCAGGAAGAACTTGACACAAGAGTTGTAGTTCTCAATGAGATCTAAAACATTGCAGAACATAACTCCTCCTAGAAATGCTGGGATTTCAAGTTATAAACCCTTGAAGATACGTCCATGAAACTGAAACACTTAGTAAATTTTGAGCATTTCCAAGTCTGAATTTGATTGGAACTTTTGCGCCAGTTTTCATGTAGGTACAATCAGAGTTTGCAAAAATGATTCAAAGAGGGGTTACAAAGTATGTTATAAGCTTTCTGAAAATTCCGAGTACTCCTTCAGATCATGCTAGAGTAGGGAGAATCAAAGATCAAAGGTTACACATTTGTTCTTAATCTAAGTGACGTTTATGCTGAAGTTATGGTCCAATTTCAAGCTATGCTGCCTAATATCATGTTACAGGCCTTCTTTCTTGTTAAATCTCATCATAATTTAATGCTTACACCAACTTTTGAGTCCTTATCCCAGTGTCTAAGCCTTTATCCAAAGGATCTTCCCACGTGTGGCATAAAAGTACCATTGGTGTCCTTGAAAAGCAAACTTTTGTACAAAGTTTATTTTGAGCCCATACTTTACTTTGTTTCTGAGTGTACTTCCCCATAAATCATGCCTACATACTCAGATTAGGCACGTTTAAAGCTACTAACCACCCTAGCTTGCCTTGAAACCATGCTTGTCTAAACTTGATTCAAAAACAAGTCAATGATCCATAACACATGATGGTTGTACTCTTGACTTCTCCAAGCTTCTAAATCCTTGGCCTATAAATTAAACTTCATTTACAAACTGAAGGGGGGTTGAAAAAAGCCCTGAAACCTTGCTGAAAATTCCCAAGAACCTGAAAGTGCTACACAAACACAAAACCTGCTAGTTCCTGATTTTTGCATCCAAACTCTAATTTTCCTTGTGCGTTTCTTGGCCAAATCATCCGCACAGTTTCTGGTATACACATAGAATATTTCCCAACTTCTGTTTTCAAACTGTAATACAGTCTTCACCAATCTCCATTTCAAAAATCAGAACTTTGCATCTTGACTGCTCCAGAGCATTCCAACCATCCATAACTCAAGTTAAGGGTTGCTTTAGCTTTCTGAGAACTTGAGGAAGCTGACCAGAATATCACAACAATCTGAACTAGGCTCTAACTCACAGAACAATTTCTAACTACAAGGTAAGTTTCTTCTGATTTTCATCTCATTACTTAGGCATTGTTAGGCTTGCAATTTCAAAGTTACAATGTAGATATCATGGCTCTGAGTCTGTACATATTTATAGATTTCATTCATATGGCTTAAGTAGAGAGAATTTCATATCAGAACTTCTTGAGAAAAGTAGGGTTCAAAATTAGGATTAGCAAAATTCATGCTTGCTTCTGGTTTACAGTTTTGATGCTTTTTATTTCTGAAACCATGATGAAATTTTCCATAACTTCTATGTTTGCATTTTCCATTTTTGTTGACAAATGACTAAGTTGCAGATACTCTAGCTAGCGCGAAGAAGAAGATGAAGTTCATCATCAGAACTTACTTTGTAATATATGTTTACATTTTTAATTCTAATACCAGATGTATATCCACCCCAGTGGTAGAGAGCGCGCGCATAAGGCATTAGTGTTAAGGGTCCGGGGTTCTAGACCCATAAGCATATTTTATGTTTATTTCTTAACATTTTTACCCCATTATTTATCAAACAATAATCCTGGACCAGAACTTCTAGATAACCCCCCCCCCCCCATTTGTTTGTCAAAACAGTACCCCTAGACCAGATCTTCTAGATATTCTCATCCAACAACATCGTCACCTCACTTACCCATTAACAGAACTTTTAGCCTTCCAGTAACACTAAAACTTCTAGGTTTCTAGCTGCACTAGAACTTCTAGGTTCTCTCAACAATCATAACTTCTGGGTTTTCCTTTGTTTCCAGCAACCCCAGAACTTTAGCGCGTCTGGATCCAGAACTTCTGGCTTTCCCCATTTCTATTAATATTTTCTTTCTGATTTGCAGCGCGCCTGGGTCAGAACTTCTGCTCTCTCTTATTTCTATTCTTTCGGCAACACGCTGACTCTAACTCTTATTCTCTTACTATTTTTATCATCATTTTTATTTTCATTAATCAAAAACATCAAAAATACTTTATATTCGTATACTTTGATTTATTTCTTTTAAAACAAAAAGACTAAAAACATTTACTTAAGCAAATTTATTTCTTCTCTTAATAAAAATAAAACAAATCTATTTTACATTTCAATTCTTGTACATTATTTCAATATGGTTGTAATAGATAATTAGAATTTTAATTTCTTGCAACCCCCATTTGTAAATTTGTACACCCCATCCCCAAGTGATTGTAATAGTGTAGGATATTTACTTTCCGCAATTTATAGCTTTTATATAAATGCTAGTAAATTAGGTTTTATATGGAAAGATAAAATCAATACTTAGAAAGCCCTAACTCAAGATAAATCAAACATGAAATACAAACACTGGCACACTTGCACCTCTAGGGTTAACTCCACTTGTTGCCTTATGAAAAATGGTCATGTTATGAATGTGAGACGTCTTAGCAAAAATAATCAAAAAAATACAAGATCATAGTCCCTCGATGACGCTTAGAATGTTGCCTTGCAAATGATCTTAGTCCCTCAAGAGAAATGCTAAGATATCTCACAACATTTCTATCATGACTATACGATGACCCACGCCCGTCCCTTTACATTCAAAGATAAGGGTTCTTACCAATCAATGGTAAGATAGCAATATCAAAGAAAGGAATGAACAAAAGACGTTTTGAGTAGGTAGAACGTTCTTAGTTTCTTGCTCACAATCCATCTTCAAAACAAACATCTTTTCAAACACACCAAACACTTTCAAAACATGAAATATGTTCAAAAAGTCCAACACTTTGTATGAATTCTTATAGAGATGGGAATCATTACAAAGTTTTCCTAAACGAAGGCGTTTTTCAAAAATACTTTCAAAACCCATCACAAACACATTTAAAACAAAGCAGTTTCAAAAGTGATCTAGCAAGAAACTAAGAGCCCATAGATAACTATGGATGAAAAGGGTGCTAACACCTTCTCTTTTCATAATCTACCCCACAAACTCAAGAAAATAATCTCAAAGGTCTTTCTTGTTCTTTTCACCCTTTCCTTTATTAGATAAAAGAAAAGTCGGTGGCGACTCTTGCTTTCTGCAACAATTGCGATAAAACACAAAACACCCAAGTCAGTTCTCCCACCATATTACAATGTGCAATTAGGAGAATCTCTACTTCATCTAGCTCCATTTCCCCATATTTACTTTCAATAATTGAGACCACAGGAGCATATTTAGCAGGGAGACCTTCAAGAATCACATCAATGTGATGAGTGTTAGGTACAGGATCTCCAATTGAGGCTAATGAATCCACAATCTTACGAATTTTCAGCAGACAATCAAAAACAGAGTTTGTGTCAAGAGTTAGGGCACATAATTCAACATGAAGTTAACGAGCACGAGCGTGTGTTTGCTTCTGAAAATAGCTAAACAAACAATCCCATAGTTGATGCGAGTGAGAGCAACCAAGAACTCACGACAGAATTTCGCTCGAGAGCGTAGATTGAAGCCACGATAGAAGAAGCTGATATTTCTGAAGCCAAATAGAGTATGCAGGATTAATCGTACCTTTGGGACGATCTTTATCGCTCAGAAATCAGAAAGGGATTCGCGGGTAGATAACAAGATCTATGAGATTGTGCGTGTTGATGTAGGGTTCAACTTGCTGATGCCAGAGGTGAAAATTCTTCTTGTCAAGCTTGTGCGCGATCTTGAGAGAGAAATGAAGGTGGCACGATTCATCATTCGCAACCGTGACCGGCATCGCCGGAGAAGATACAGAAGCGGAAGGCGTTATCGGTGGAGAATCCATGGATCGACCTTAAAAAATTGATACCGTGATAGAAACCAATAATAGAACTTTCATTTTCAGTTATACCTGAATTTGGATTTATGAAAAGTTAGTTACAAAGAGAGATCACAATTCGCTTATATAGGTGCAAACTGTGTGACCTGTAATAGCAGGTCTACATTAGGTAAGTTGACAGCTGTCAGTTATAACAAACACTTACAAAGAAAATTATTCTACACTATGAGTGTTATTCTAATAGTATCATAAACGGGTATAGTGCACCCTTCCAAGTACTCCATAAAACTACCCTCTTCTGCGATAATCAATGTCCTCTCAAATTGACCAAACTCTTTTGCATTAATCCTAAAATATGTTTATATTTGCATTAGACACTTGACATTTTTGGGAATATACACAAACGTCCCATCCCCATGCACAGCAGAATTCAAGGCTGCATAAAAGTTATCATCAGAAGGGACAACCTTTCCTAAATACTTCTTAACCAAACCTGGATACTCCCTTACAACTTCAGATATGCACAAAATATCACGCCAGACTTTTCCTCCAAACTCTTCTTATGAGTCATTGCAATGGAAACACCATCACAAACAACATCTACTGCTACATTATCCCTTTTGTTTTCTAAGAAAGGAATACCAAGCCTATCAAAGTAGGCGAGTAACTCAAGTGCAGGCACATCAAGACTATCCAAAGTTGGTTTCTTATTAGGCTCAGAGTAATAACACAGATCTTGAAAATTGATTTGCGGGTATCTATTGTCAGACCAGTTAGGGTATTTCATGTTCAAAAACTTGTGATATCCTTTAAGTCTAAGCTAAGCATCCAATTAGGATCATTTTTTCTTGCAAATATTAACCTAATAGTTTCCTCGGATAAGCCTTTTGGTAACGAGAATGAGTCAATTTCTTGATTAAATCCCCACTTATAATCCCTTTTCGGGAAGTTGTCAACTTGGTGATCATCATCATAATTGTTTTCCCTAACCTTGAAAGCTGAAGGTCTTGATTTGGTAGAATTGGGGTTAAGTTTTACATGAACATGAGACCCTTTGACAACTTGTGATATGGGTTGTGGAAGAAATTGGGAAATTCCATTGAGAAGAAGAGACTACATTGATACCATTGTTGTAACTTTGATGAATAATATCTAATTAGTAGGTAACAAATTAGATCCTGAAAAACAATATATCAATATATAAACCCTAATCAGAAAACATATAACATGCAATTTAACAATAACTATCAATCCATAATATTGAGAGATAAGAAAATTACGGTTTCACAAAATTGGTCCTTTTCAATTTTCATAACTTAAATTCATAATTTTATGAGAGTAAAGCACTCACCTTATGGGTCAGATGAAAGACCAAGATAAGAGATCATAGGAACGAAATTTGATTCTCTAATGGAGGTTTGATGGCCTGAGACGGGAGAAGAGATGGCAAAGGCGACGACGAAGGCAAAGCTAGCATCGAGAGAGAATAATGAAGAAGATTGCATAATAATAATAAACTAACGGAGTTCTACATCTCCGACCATACAACGCTTCAAAAGGTGCCATCCCAATACTAGAATGGTAACTGTTGTTATATGTGAACTCTATCAATGGAAGATAAGTATCCCACGAACCTCCCTGCTCGAGAACACATGCCCTCAACAAGTCTTCTAACGATTGAATCGTCCGTTCAGTCTGACCATCTGTCTGAGGATGATACGTTGAACTCAACCTTAACTTAGAACCCAACGCTTCTTGCAAACTCTTCCAAAAATAAGAAGTAAATCTTGGATCTCTATCTGACACAATGCACAAAGGAACACCATGCAGTTTCACAATCATACTAACATAAATCTCAGCCAACTTCGACACTGGAAAACTGATGTTAATAGGAATAAAATGAACTGACTTCGTAAGCCTATCAACAATCACCCAAATCGAATCATGTCCTCTTGAAGTACTAGGCAACCCCGTCACAAAGTCCATTGAAATGCTATCCCATTTCCATTCCGGAACTTCCAACGGTTGCATCAACCCTGCAGGCTTCTGATGTTCAACTTTCGACTTCTGACAAGTCAAACATGCATACACAAATCGAGCCACGTCACTCTTCATCCCAATCCACCAAAACAAACCTTTCAAATCTTGATACATCTTGTAGCTCCTGGATGAATACTCAACTTACTTCTATGACTCTCTTCAAGTATCACTTTCTTCATCTCAGCATCATCAGGAATACAAATCCGGTTACGAAATCTCAACAGACCTTGCTCATCTAACTTGAAATCACTATTCTCAGATTGATCAGTCCCAACCATCAAGTCTACCAGTTTCACATCCAACTTCTGAGCTTCTCAGATACTGTCTAAAAATTCATTATTAATCTTCAACATACCCAACATAACACTCTACGGAGTAACCTCGCAAACTAAGCTCATATCTCTGAACTGCTCAATCAATTCCAACTCTTTAATCATCATTGCTGACATATGTAAAGTCTTTCGACTCAACGCATCAGCTACCACATTCGCCTTTCCTGGATGATAATTCAAACTGAAATCATAATCCTTTAACAATTCCAACCATCTTCGTTGCCTCATATTCAACTCCTTATGATCAAATAAATACTTCAAGCTCTTATGGTCACTAAACACTTCAAATCTAGAACCATAAAGATAATTCCTCCAAATCTTCAACAGAAAAAACAACTGCAGCAAGCTCTAAATCATGCGTAGGATAGTTCTTCTCATGAGTCCTTAACTGCCTTGACGCATAAGCAACTACCTTACCATTCTTCATAAGCACACCTCCTAAACCCATCTTGGAAGCATCATAATACACCACAAAAGGCTCTTATGGATTAGGCAACGTCAAAATCGGAGTCGACGTCAACCTCTTCTTCAATTCTGTAAAACTTTCTTCACAATGAACATCCCAACAAATGCTCTACCTTTACAAGTCAACTTAGTCAACGGAAGTGACAACTTCGAAAACCCTTCAATAAACCTTCTATAATAACCAGATAATCCCAAGAAGCTTCTAATCTCAGTAGCTGACTTTGGAGTTTCCCATTGCAACACATCATCAACCTTCGATGGATCTACAACAATGCCACTACCTGAAATCACATGACCAAGAAAACTAACCTCTTTCAACCAGAATTCACACTTGGACAGCTTTGCATACAACTTCTTCTCTTCCAAACCTTGCAATACTACTCTTAAATATTCAGCATGCTCTTCTTCTGACTTAGAGTAAATCAAAATATCATCAATGAACACCACTACAAACCGATCCAAATAAGTATGAAAGATACGATTCATATATTCCATGAATACTCCCGGCGCATTAGTAACACCGAAAGGCATCATCAAATACTCGTAATGTCCATAACGCGTTCTGAAAGCCGTCTTCTGAATATCTTCATCCTTCACTTTAATCTGATGGTAACCCGACCTCAAATCTATCTTGCTAAACACACGGGCATCCACCAATTGGTCCATCAAGTCATCTATTATTGGAAGCGGATACTTGTTCTTAATTGTCACCTTGTTCAACTGTCTATAATCAACGCAAAGCCTCATACTTCCATCTTTCTTCTTCACTAACAACACTGGAGCTCCCCACGGTGATACACTTGGTCTTACAAACCTCTTCTCAAGCAACTCTTCCAATTGCTTCTTCAACTCAGACGCAAACATCCTGTATGGTGCCATAGACACAGGTCTGGTACCAAGTACAAGATCAATTGCAAATTCAACTTCCCTCTCTGGCGGTACATCAGGAATCTCATCAGGGAAAACTTCAGGAAATTCACATACCACCGGCAATTCCTCAATTATAGCTTGAGTCTCTACAGATAGCGACGCCATCAACGAAAACATATGTGCCTCTTCCTCTTGCATCAACTTTCTCAACTGTCTAGCAGACAATAAACCATTTTCCTCTTCCTCAGAAGTAGAAAACTTCACCGACTTGTCATAACAATTAATATGAACACAATTATGCTCTAACCAGTTCATACCAAGAATCACATCCAAACCTCTTAACGGAAAACAAACCAAATCAATAACAAAGTCTATGTCGAAGATCGACAAGGGACACTTAGCACACACAAAAGAAGTAGTCACTGATCCCTTGGCTGGAGTATCGACGACCATTTCTCCACTCAAAGAAGACAACACAAGACCCAATCTTTCAACACAATCAGCAGCAATAAAACAATGCGTAGCACCAGTATCAATAATAGTAATTAAAGGAGTAATATTAATGAAACATGTACCTCTAATAAGTCTGTCCTCGGAAGCTGTCTGATCCTCCACCAAAGCAAACACTTTACCACTAGACTGAGCCTTCTTCGGCTTCAGACACTGACTACCAATGTGCCCTTCTTCCTTACAATTGAAGCAAACCACATTCTTGTGCTCGCACTCAGATACAATATGTCCGTTCTTACCACAACGGTGACATCTCTTTACTTCAGCAGTGCATACATTACTCTTGTGTCCAGGTTTCCCAGTGTTGTACCCCAAAATTTGCCCTCCCATATTTCTCAAAAAAAAAAATTCAAGAAAAATTCACAAGTCCAACCTGGCGCGTCATATTCAGGTATTCTTTCGCCAAGATATTTCTGATAACGTATTCTCAAATTCAGGTTCGGCTCAAGAGTCAATTCTTTAAAGAAGGTATCCGAATGTGAGTTTTCTTGAAGAGATATAGTGAAAAAGTGTGCTGAAAGTGCAGCTTTTACGCGCTAAAAAATTCATAACTTGAAGATCGTGACTCGTTTTGAACCCGTTCCAGTGGCCAAAATTCCGTCTTGACATTATCTACGTTTTCATCTCTCACGGCTGGAAGCCAATTTCGATCATAAGGTCTTCAAAAATGTGGATTTATCAAGTATTTTCGTGCAGAAAATTTGTGACAGAAGTTTATTTGCGTCATGTTCAAAAAATCGTAACTTGGTCGATTTTCATCGTATCGAGCTGGTTCTGGCGCCACAATTTCACAAATTGAGTTGGCTACATTTTCACAGAAGGTATTAAGTTCAAACGGTATTCAAAAGGCCTTCGTTTTTTGCTCAGAATGCGTGACACGCTGAAAATCCTGAATGCTGAATATTATTTCATCTGGGCCGAAACTTCGAAAATTCATAACTCGGTCAATTTTTATCGGATTGGACTCATATTTTTACACAAGGTCCCTGACTCGTAGATCTACAACTTTGCTTCAAAAGTCGAGACCGGATTATGCACCGATCAATACCAGTTTTTTATTGAAGAACGTGTCAGAGTCGACACTGGAGCCCAAAATAAGTTTGTCTGAGCTGAAACTTCAAAAATTCATAACTAATTCACCGTTTATCCGATTGAGTCAATTTTCGGACAGGAGTTAGTTCTGGATGTCTGCTACATTTTGTTTTCACATTTCAACTTCAAAAAATGCACTTAAGTCCCTGCGATTTAGCCTGGAAAGTGACGAATTCAAGTGAATATTGGAGGCCCAATTGCACATTCAAAGCCCATTTGCTTTACCCTAATTTTCATTATATAATCACCTTCTTTTCACACAAACCGGAAGGAAGGAGGAGAAAAAAATGAGGAGAGAAAAAGAGAAAAAAAACCTTGCCACAACACTGTTGGAATATCAAACTCTTTCAAGAATCCTAAAACCTTGAAATCCTTATTACAAATCCCTCTCTCACTACAAACAAAGCCATCTCAGTTACAAACCAACATCTTATTACTTCTTCAGTAAGGGTAAGGCTGGCTTGATCTCCATGATCCA